TTTTATTAGTTATCTTCAAGCCATAAACAAAAATAAATAGAGCAACTTAATAAACCAAGGCAAAGATAAATTGTGGTTCTGATACCAAATGTAAAACTTAATTAACAATTTTTTGATATGGAATAAATAAGTTTATAACAGAATCGTAAGTTTTAATAACAAGGAAACAATACCTCCAGTCATTAATATTTCTCACGTATTTGCTGTTTTCTTTATATATATATTTGGCACTTCTATAGATAGTGTAAAACTTAAGGTAATTGATTTAGTGAGTATGAAGACCAAATAACATTATTTATAACGAAAGCTTTCATCAAGATTTAATGATTATATGTTATAAGTGAAATACTTTAAAAGTTCATGAATATTACATTATTAAAATGAATTATTTAAAGAGTTCATAAATATAAATGTTATATTCTTAAAGTATATCAGATCTCGTAAATATAAAGATTAAAACTTTTAAATAGTTCACTTTAATAATTTATAAATATATATATATAAAAAAAAATTTATAATAACTGTATAAAAAATGTTCAACAAGTGGTTCCAATAAAAAAACTTGTGGTTCCAATAAAAAAAACTTAGAAATATTTTCAGAGGAAAAGACGTTTGGAGCAGCGGTTGTGGGGTTTTCAGAATTGCCTAGACAGTAACCCTTCTGATGCGTTAGCCTCCTTTGAACGGAAATTGCAGAAAGAATATAATGATGTGCTTGTCAAGAAGAACTGCTTCGGTGCCAAAAGTCTCGAGGAAACTGGGTCAAGCATGGGGATCGAAATTAATAACAGGCGCTGACATACATCAACGGCAGTTCAGAGGAAGAGGAATCGCATTCGTGGCCTTTTTCTATATAGCGGGGAGTGGAGTACTGAAGACAAGCTTCTTCAGGACGAGGCGCTCAAATATTACAAGACTCTGTTTTCTTCCGGTGCTGATTGGATAGTTTTCCTAAACTCTCAATGGAAGGTAGGCAGGTAATCAGGATATCACGAAGGAGGTGACGAAAAGGGGAGTTTACGAGGCTCTTGAGCACGAATAGCAAAA